AAAAACAAGTCAACACAGAGCATGAGAAGGATCATTCTTTTAGCATCCTCATGGGTCCAAAGGAACAAGGAGGCATTTAACAGCCAGCCCATTGCCTTGACAAACAGATCTGAATAATAACTGCCTCAACTTCAAGGGCTAATGATCTAATCCTAACGCTATGTGCCAAAGGACGGGACTCTGTTATCACCCTACGTACATCTTCTCACATGCTGCCCACCCACCCACTATGGTAAACTGAGATCTTCCATTTTTTCCTCCATCCCTTCATCTGCACATCTCTGAGTCACACACATTGTTTCATCTTTTTTGTCAAAAGTCTCCCTTGTAAGTCTCCCTTCTTCTCTCTCTCTCTCTCTCTCTTGTTTTCCATGGAGTCGGCATATGCAGAATTTGTCAGGGAGACAAAAATGATGATGGAATGCCTTTTTTCACTTTGGTCAGCTCCTTGTGGTGTTGGGTTTGATACTCTGTGCACCCCCCCTCTGTGTTTGATGTGTGGCATAGGGCTGACTCAACACAGCGAGATATAGCGATGATGGATCTGCAGTCAAATTAATCTTGAATGAAGCTGACATTGCGATGAAACCAGAAAACTACAAGGGGCAAAGCAAGCTGTACCACAGATAGTTTTCTTTTTCCATTTGCTTTCAGTAGGACGAGATAATAATGTGAATGTGATTTAGAGGAAACTGATGTGGTATTTTCTTTTCTTTTTCTTTAAAGTTATCACACTGGAGAGATGTGGTCACACCTTGACATGCAGCAGTGAGTATAATATACGGTATTACCAGCAAACATACACACCTACAGTATGAGTGAACACACACTGTAAGTCAATTACTCCCATATCCAAAGTGGGCAGAAACATCAACTCACTGATTTATCAGTGGGGCTCAAGACATATGACAAACAGTAACATGTACAGTGCAAGTGTCTCGGGAGCTGGATTTATCTGAGCGGACCTCTAAGACTCATTACTGTTGAAAGACATCTACAAAAACCTGACAACTGGTAGCCTTGCCACATCACATCACATATTCTATTCTACTAATAATGAAAAAGAATCTAGTGGAGCCTGGACCTTAATCCCGTGTACTGGTTTACTCAGTATTGCAGCCTGTAAATGTTCATGCCTCACTGGTTGGTTGGCTAAAAGGTGGAAAAGGGCAAGGGTGTAAATATGAGAGTATGCATGTATGCCAGTTTGAGTACCTCGTTTTGCAATTTGCAGTAAATATGCTATCATTTATGAACGAGTCTGAAAAGGTTATGTGAGTACATGTTTGTGTGCCAGCCTTAACTTTAAACTGAGGTTTTTAAAGGCCTGGCCTGAGGGAGGTGGACACCCCTCTGGTATTATATTTATGGGCTTGAAATTGCTTTAAACACACACACACACACACACACACACACACACACAGGGCACCCCACTTTCCCCCATCAGCCCACAATTGAGCACGGCGTCAAGATTCCAATCAGGGTTGAGCCAGCAGACTGAGGGGATTATTTATGCTGGAAAGGAGAAGGGAACCTCAAGGAGAGAGAGATATGTGCATATTAGTTGCATTTCTATACTTATGAGAACAAAAGCATAGAAAATCCTCCACAGTGTGTTTTTCCAGTTACCATTTAAAAAGCTAATTTATGATTAAAGCTTGGGGTTACAGTTTAAGTGACTAAGATTAGGTTTAGGCCAGGGAAAAAAATTAGGTTAAGTATTTAGTTAGTGTTGGGCGTAGAAACTTCAAAGCACACTCATTCACATCCACCAACCATTAACCCTCTTGGACAGCAAAAGTGATGTGGGTTAAGTGTTACCAGCACTCAGAGATTGGTGTAAAATAATCCATACAGTTTTCATATTTCATACAACTCCAGATTGTTATTTTTACAGTGATACCATGCACATGCAGGAGCTCTAAAGGCTCTAAATGAGCATAAAACTGCAGGCAGAAGTGCACACATTTATGATCTGAATAAGATGTCAAACTTAACAAGACACTAAATAGTCTCATGTTGCATATTTGGTGAAACAAGCCCCTGGGTTGAATACAGGCTGAATTGTAAAGTTATTTATGTTAGAAACAGAAGTACAATTTAATGTTATTGGGGAGGTTTCATTTATGGGTATATTCAACCAGTCTACAAATGTTTAATTTTGTTGGCAGTGTAGACCTGTTGTCTACTGTCTTACAGTAAACACAGTCATTTCTGACTTGCAGGTTACAAGCAGTTCCTGAACATGGCATTCGTCATGGTCTTTCTGACTCTAAAGGCAGGAAGTAATGATGATACTACGGTCAATTCTCTACAGATTGTCTCATTTGGGAGAGGGGTAGAGGTTTATCCTACTTGCCTCCAGTCTTACAACTTTATAGACCATGTCCTACAAAGGAAGGGGGGGCCTGATTTAGAATTACAGGAAACACAGAATCTTAAGCTGACCACCATCATGGATCTTATAGAGCAAGGCTAGTAACATTATTAGGTTAAGTGGAGGACAATGCTGTGGAGTCACTTAGTTGAGGAAAAACTTTAATCTAAAATGTCTATGAGTGACCTTAGTGTGGTGACTGAATGAAATGCCAGTGTGCCTTGTTTGGACCAAAAGCAGTTTAATCCTGGAATTTGTACCTTGCAAACTATGAGCATCCAAAGTGTTAAAGTGTTTATGGGAAAGCTGATCATATTTGGATGTGTGGTTTCAAACTCAAGGGGAAGGTTTGGTAAAGGATTTAACTTGTTGTGTAACCCTCTTGTTCCCTGAGAACTCCCTCAGCTATCATGGCTGTGAGAACTGAATGTTTGTATGTTATGCTGCTGCATGTGTGTGTGTGTGTGTGCATGTTTCTGCATTTTAAGACAGAATGGAAAAGGCCAAGCTTCAAAGGACAACAGCCTTCGAGTACTCAAAATGAAGCTCTCTTTCTCCTTGTGCATCTCTCTCTCTCTCTGTCACACACACATACTGTATATGGCCAGGATGCCTTAGCAAAACAATAACTGTCTCTGCCTGATCAGTTCTTTGGCCTGCCAGTCTGCTCTTGGGAAGTTCTCAAGAAACCCAACATCACTGCAGCCAAGCCACATCAAATAACACACACGCACACATATACACACAGAGGGATAAATCCTGCTAACATTTGCACAAATATACAGTCACACAAATGTACAATCTTCATGTTGTGTAACACACTGGGTCAACAGCATGCGGACAAACACACACATTGCTGCTGAGAACATGTGCGCACACATACACACTAGATCAACTATACAAATAGTCACACAACCAGATAGTGAGCCAGCAGCAGTCTCCTCTGCACCGCTGAGTTAGCTCCCTCTCCCACCACCATTACCACTATTGTAAATACTCCTCAATATGTATTTACACTGGAATTTCAGAACCCTGGAAAAAAATTAGGTGAAAATAAAAAGGCTGGAAAAATGGAGGAATGCGTCTCTCAGCCAGACGGCGGGAACCCTCAGTCCTTATTATCTTTCTGCTAGAATTTGCCTTAAATTGTACATCTGCGTGATGAGATAGAGTAATATGTGGCGGGTCTTCTTTTTCTTTCACTCTTTTTCTCTGACACTTTCTTTTAGCTCTGATTCTGTCTAAATGATGCAAAATGCTGGGAAAATTAAATTCAATACCACACAAAGAGAATGAATAAAACTGCAGTTTGCTTGCTGCATGTTATTTCTCTTTTTAAATAAAAAAACAAACAAACTTTTAACTGGTTTGACTTTGACTTTGCAGAGGAAATTTTATTAGCCTTTGTGCATCTTTGTAACTCATTAGCTTCTGAGTTCAAGATAGTGATACTGTAAATGACTGAATCCTTCTTTTTCTCTCACTCTCTCTTTTCCTGTGCTCCGATCTCACACATTAATTACTGTATTTGATCAGTCCCATTCAGAACTGTGCGTTGTAGGCTGAATGAAATTCATAAAGCCTGTGATGTCATCAACACTGGGCCATGAATTAAGTTTGGCTTTTGGCTTCTGTGTCACCTGTAACCACGGCAACAAGCAGCTACTGCTGGGAGGAAAACCCCCTGTATGTGGGACATGTGCCTTTAACACAGCAGGGTCTGAGAAAATTAAGCTGAGTGTCTAATAGTTATCTCAGCAGTATAGTAAGGATATTGAACTAAAAGCAATATCCACTGCAGCTTTAGACTGTTAATACCGATTTTTCAAAGTAACAAGTAAAGTTAAACTGAACCTCCATTTATTTAGACAAATGTCTTTTCGTGCAGAAATGTCAAATGTATTATAATACAAAACAGAAGGAGAAATTACCCTTACTGGTTGACTGACGATGAAATCAGCAGGTAACAGAAGCATTTTTGAAAAAGATTTTTCTCAAAAATAACCTTCAACCTATGTATAGATTTTAATTTCCCATGTGCTTATGTGCCAGAAGAGAGGTTCTCTAAAGTTCTAGCTGAAAAATTACATTGAACTAGAATCTAGTTTTATTATATAAACATACATTTAAGTCAGGCACATAGTATCCCCTCTTACTCACCTTATTCCATCTCTCTCTCACACACACACACACACACACCTATGTCACCCCCACATGCAAACAATTACATGGCTTGCTCCCATGAATAAATTAGTCTAATCAAGTTCTCTCTTCCCTGACATCCGTAGCTAAATCCCTTGCTCCATAAAAAAACAACGCTTCCCCCAGCCTCTAAGAGCCCCCCAGTACCCCATCCTTCCATTACTCCTTCCTTCCTGTTCTTTCTGTACCCAGTATATGTAGGAAGGACAAGGTCAGAGAAATGAAAGTTGTGAAAATATAACTTGCATTTATATCCCACAATTACTGTACTTGCTTAGGTGTGTAAAAAGGAAGTTGTACTGGTCCAAGTGGGATAAGCAATCAGCAATAGTCTTTCATTCATAAGGCTAATGAGTTAATGATTATCAAATGAAAAACATGTAGATATATGTGTGTGCATTGTGTTTGCTGTGTACCGTACCCTATGCTCATTCACGTTTCTGCTTCCATAAACCAACACGTAGTAGAAACAGCACTGAACAAATCATTTCGCTCATTCTGCTGCCGACTCGTTACTTGACATCCCATGTTGTCACTGCCAGTTCTTCTATACAGCTGCTTGTCTCCTGGCAACAGGTGTCTCCCATTCTGTCACCCTGAGTTCCCACTGTGCCAGCACACCTGGCACATCAGATATGACAAAAAGAATACACTAAATCTGTTATGCAGCATCTGTCTCGCTATCAGTGACTTATGAACCAAAGAGAGTTCAGCCTCAGCATACACTTTTGACACGCACAAACAATGGCCAATAATTGTGATTTTTCACTAGTGGGAAACATTCAGTCAATAAATGAATTCTTCTTTGATTAGGGGGACATTTTATTCCCCATCCCCCCTTTTTTGTTGTTGCTGTTTGTTAGTTAAAGTAAAATGCAGCTGTGTATCTTTAGGACACCACACATGTACTGTATAGATACTCATACAAGCCTCCATATCTCAGTGGGAAAGGGCTGTTGCTATGAAACCATGCAAGTGCAGACCATTCAAACATGTAGCTGAAAGCTCATTTTACTGAAGAAAACACTTGCTCACACCTGACAATGCCTGTAGAAAAATACAAAATAAATAAATCAGTGATTTCAAGTGTGACTGGCTGTCTGAGTCACCTTGAATGCGTTCAAGGAAAAAAAAAACACATCAAGGTCACACTGAATGAAGCTTCAGTTCAAAGCCAAATATGTCTTAAAAAGAATTAATCTAGCAGAAAAGCTTCTAATTCATTAACTGGCCAACTGTTCCAAAGTTAAGTATCCTGAAATGTCTTGGACTGGGATGTTTCAAGTAACCAGTGCACAGACCACACTGGCTGCATGCCTGGTGATACATTAAACAAAACTACCAGTGGGGTCAGTAAGCCAATTAATTTGTGGCATCATATTGTATATGTCTTACACAACTCAATTTTAGGATTAGGAAACCTCTAATACGCTTTCAAAATAAGACAGAATGGCAGTGGGATTACAAATTTCTGGGATCAGAGATTTTTCTCCCTGTCCACATCTTTTGTCTCTTTTACTGAAACTGAAATTAGCAGGTGAAATAAAACATAGACCTAAGCGAGAAATACAAAGGTGAATGGAAAAATGTACAAGCAAGCGAATAGAGGGGACTTACTTTTTACGCTGGTTCTCCTTTCGATCAGCTGAGCCCAGACTCTGTAAATAACAGAAAAATACATTACAATCATCATCTAAACTAGTCAAAGCATTACTCTTTATCCTAAGTACACACTTACACTCCCCTACATGCTGTAAAATCAGAGTGTGGGTCAGAGGGCATATGTACATGTACATATTTAAAACAATCCCTTTGTATTTTGTCTTGGAGGCTCAGATGGTTTTATCCAGTTACCAATACGAGGTGCTGCACATTTGGCAAGAAACTTAAATTTTGATTAAGGAACAATGTAATTAGAAGTTTGCATGTTCTCCCTGTGGCTACGTGGGTCCTTTCCGCATACTCCGGCTTCCTCCCACAGTCCAAAGACATGCAGCTTAGGTTGACTGGCAACTCTAAATTGCCTGTAGGAGTGGCTGTCTCTCTAAGTGTCATTCCTGTGATAGACTGGCGACCTGTCCAGGGTGTACCCCGCCTCTTGCCCAGTGACAGCTGGGATTGGCTCCAGCCCCCCTGTGAGCCTTTTCAGGCTAAAAGGTATAGATAATGGATGAGTGGCTGGATGGATCGATGGACATACAGTAATTAGCATAGTAATAGTATATTGCAGGCAGAAAACTATTTCAAAGCCTGTGACAAAAAACATTTAGTTAAGGGCCTGCATGAAATAAACTGTCCTCAATCAAAGCATCAGCAAGTTAATGAACCTGACAAGCAAACCAGTTACACACAAAGGCAGACACATCCTGCTTCCTACCTTAATTTAGTTTATTTTATTACAGTCAAGGTGACCTACAGTTAATGCCTGATTCAGTCATCCCACTAATTTGGGCACTGACCTTCAAGGCAGCACCAATCAAATAATCAGTGCCACCCTGTATGAGCCAGTTATGTAGGTAATAACCTTGTCTCCAGTGGAAAACAATTAGCTCCCTGGCTACAATTACAAACACTTATGTAGTGGATTTACTTTGCATTTATTACTGTGTAGTATCTGTGTGCAAGCGACTGTGGGTGTACTGTAATGCAAGGAATGAAAAAGTGAGTGCGAGAGACAAGTTTAAGGGCCATTTGCTGAAGTCAACTGAGTTCGTAAACCAAGTACACAAATGGCACAATATTGACTTAAAAATGCACCTATACACATGAGTGCAAACACATAGCACCCACCTGCTGTCTACTGTCTGGAGGTGTATAGATCTTACAGATGACACATACAGAGACAGAAGCACACACACACACACACAGAGGTGCACACATTTACTTGAATGGGACTTGGGTGTAGGCAGCATGTGTCTAATCATGACTCTATATTACAATATACCATATACAATCAGAACACTGGAACCATTGATGGACATTCACTGTGATCACTGACTCATTTTTTAAAAGAAGTGAGCAATAGACATAGCACCTTCTGAATCTCAAACTTAACATCAGAGAGAACTCTTGTTTTACGCACAGCAAGTGTGTGTGTGCATGCTTGTGCTTTTATGTGCAGTGAGGCAGTGACATTTTGACCATCAAGTGAATCCTCTACCCTGGCGTTTTGAGAAAGTGCGTGCGTTTATGTGTGCGCGGCAGTGACATTTTGACCAGCGACTGACTTCTCTGTGGACGTTTGCATACTAGTTTCATCTGCCTGGTGGGGACAGGATATGTCACACAGAGTGACTGACCTTTCACCTCCCTGCTCCCCCACAGCGCCCTCAGGTAGTGCCAAGAGGGATGAGGGCAGGTGGGTTTCCTTCATTTGGAAAATAGGTCTGTGTGTGTGTGTGTGTGTGTGTGTGTGTGTGTGTGTGTGTGTGCATGCATGCGTGCATGTCCCCCTGTTGTTACTCACATTGTGATGACCAAAACCTCACTCATCTGCCAATATCTGGTCCCCACCATGTAAATCACTGAATTTTAGGGTGACAACTTGATTGAAGGTGAGCTTAAGTCTTAGGTGTTAGGCAAGTAGTGGTTATGGGTAAGGTTATGGTATGTCTCCAGGAAACAAATGTAAGTTAATCTAGAGTCTAGGAATTTTACTTGATTTGAAAAAAAATTGTCAAGCGTGAAAGTAGCAATTAAAATATCTTTATTGTTTTCCGATAATTGCTTAAATGACTATGCTAATTAATTTCAAGTCAGGTTAAGTTTGAATTCATTTTTTCCCCTCCACGTCAACATAAAATCTGAGCCTTTATTAAAAAAAAAAAGTATATTTTTAGTTCACAGCATTCCAGTCTACAGTATGTGCATGGAATTGACAAACAAATATTCTATGTTATCATCACTGATTTTTCAGCAATTACAGCCCCTGTCCCTGTTGCCATTTAAAATGTGCAACTTGACAATTTTTAAATAACATTCTTGCCAACATAGTTTAGGAAATTCAGGACAATCACTTCCATATTCACTTCAGCAAAAACATTTCTGCAGTAACTCCCCTTGACTTTATCCTGGTGGCTTAATTTTTAAGGAGTTATTTTTGACAAGCTTAAACTAAAACTGTTTCCATGTGATCAATTTACCTGGATCCAGTCGTCAGTTTATGCCCATATGTACACAAACCTCTATTCACGTCCACTGACAGAAAGCACTACTAACACTCATACTAGAAAATGAGGAAAATTCAATTTAGGACTAACAGTTAATATCATTTCCGCTGCTCTTCAAAAGCTTCTCCTCTTCACAAACCTTGTGCCATTTCTGTGGAAATGCTCAGTCCTTAAATCCCCATGAGACAAAAAAATGTTTTTACAGATAATGGTAGATGGAGGCATCATGCCTGACAGCTACCAGAGCTATTGTTATTACCTTTGTAAATTATCTTAATACTATCATAATGTGGAACAATTAGCTAAAAGGAAGAGTGGGAAACATGTCTGTCAGCTATACATCTTAAAATGTTCTCAAATTATTCATTAGATTTCAGTTTTACCCACAGGCTTAACTTTGTACCTTTCTATAGTGGGTGAGTATGGAAGCAGGTGCGTGAACACATACCTCGACAGCAGGTACCAAGAAATGATTATGGTTTTGTCTGAGCTGTGAAATTACAATGATAACACACTATATGCTGTATTCCAGCCAAGTGCCTCAAAACCACAATCTGCTCAACATGTGTTTCTTCAAATGCTGACACACGAGCAACCAAAACTACACAAGCAATGATACACACAAAAACACCATCGTATGTGCAAAACACCTTCACTTCTACGTGCGTTAATTCAAGCACACACATGTACCTGTGGCGTCCAACCCAGTGAACTCAGTCAGATAACGTTATTCCACTCTCCCTGTCTTCTTTTTCTCTCGCTTCCAAAAGCCAGAGTCCTCACTGTGGTGTTTCAGTGGTGGCTCTAATTGCAGTTCACCTGTCCAACTTCAACTAGTCAGCTCTGTTTCCTTCTTTCTCCTAATGTTCTCTCTTTTCCTCTATAAAGCTGTTGGTCACGCAAAGGTTTGCGAAGCTTGCTCCAGTGGTGGCTGCTACCGCCACTGACTTGTTGTACTTTAATTGTGGTTGCTAGGCGATAAGCTTCTCCAATTCTGTACACAGTAAGAAGGAGAGGACAGGAGAGGAGGGGGGAGAGTGAGAGAATGGTGGAGGTAGGAGGAAATGCTCATTATAGACACAGTAAAAGAATGATCGATGGGGAGGAAGGGGAAGAAGAAGTTGTAAAAAAGTATAGATGAGAGACATGGACCGATGGATGACGGGATCTCACATACAGTGGCAGGTGCACTTCATTGGTTTCATCCTGTGGCTACTTTCTGCAGCTTGGAGCACTTAAGCCACAGTGACAGCACACTTTTCTATAAATACTTTAAATGAACAAGTATTTATAGAATTTCCGCAAAGCCCTGACACCTGCTCTAGTTTTGCATCACATAACTCTGAAAATATTTTATTTGGCTTGGTCTTGCAGTTATTAAATCAGGGGATAAAAATTCAATGACAATATTGTTTTTCAGTTATGTTTGGAAGGACAACTCAGACCTTAAGTCAGGCGTAAATTAACATTTAGCTAATTGAGCCCTTTGTTACAACTCTATGTTCCTAATTAATGTTGCTCACATACACAGGTGTAGCTTTTATATGTGTAGTATGTGATCTATTTACTGTAAGATGTATTTGTCAGAATGACTTCATACAGCATTTATATAAAGTAAGCATGAACAAAATTTGCATGTGATGTCTTTGAATAGGTAAAAAAACCAGCTAGTCATCAGCATACAGTGGTTGAGAATAAAAATTGAAATTTTGTATAACATAGTATAAATAGCATAATATATATAGTATAATACTATATATAGTACAAATAATTAAACACAATTAATGTTAATGTAGTTAAATTAAATTCAATATTTGTATAGCACCAAATCACAACAAAATTCATCTCAGGACACTTTACAAACTAAGGTCTAGACCTTACTATTATTATTATTGCTAACTGGTTCACATTCATTTTGTGGCATGTGAAGAAAAATAAATCTACTTTTTGGATTATAATCATCACTGCAATATTTAGGCAATAACGAGTGGATTACAAGATATGTATTTGTTTTACCAAGTTCCTGAGGCAAGGGCCTCATAATGCATCATCTACATGGGCTGCTGGACACATAACAGTGAATTCTTGACCCACAGGTTGAATATCATTTTAAAAGGACTATTAGGCAATGAAAAGCAGCATGCAGACAGCACATGCGGCGAGCAATGGTTGCGACCAGTAAACAAACCATGCTTCCTCTTACAGTAACAGCCTGTTGGACGTCAATATAAATCAATTTGGTAATGAAACCTACATTGTGCTTAGTAGCTGGTGGCCTTTACTGTGACTGTGGGTTAGTTTCTGCATATATACTGTATGTGTACTGTATGTACGTAAGAAAGAAAGTATATCTGTGTATATTGTTAGCTTGATGTGTTACGACTCAGTGTGGTTTCAGTGTCTGGCTGTGGGCATACAAAAATCCTGTGTATTCCTGTGTAGTCTGAGCACACAGTGGTATAGGGAACATTACTCATAGCTGGTGGAAATGTCAAACACGTTGGCATTGTTCAGAAATGATACACAGGAAATACTGTCATACTTTCTTTTTTTATCCTCCAATTCCTACTTGTGTCCACCCATCCCTCCACTCGCCCTTACTTTGCTCAACAATAAAATCCACCCGTCAGTTTCTGGGGCAGACTAGTGGAGATGTGGGCACCAAGCACGCACCACTGATGCACTGCTGCAGGTTGTCTCAATACCAGTCAATCAGGCCACTCACAGTATTGTAGCAAAAAAGAAGTGTTCCACTGACTTGCTGTACAATATATTTTGCTGTTAATGGCACAATAAAACATGCTAATCTGTCTCAAAGTATAAGTAAAAGGATGTTCATTAATACTGTATAAAACATAATATTCCCTCTAACGTTTCACATTGCTAGTTACAGTAAACAGAAAAGTGAAAGGTTTGAAGCTAAAACTCCTTTAATACTGTGTCTAACAAGCAGTAATTGGTCAGTAAATCTGCCAAACTGTGCCTTTAATGACATTTACAGCTATCTGCTGTCCTTCGTGCTAGTTGTACCGTCACTGGGGTCAGTGCATTTTTACTGCTTACACAATTGCCAGATACTGTAAGTTTTGACTGAGGGCAACATTCTGCATGCTCTAGTGACAAAGCACAACCCAATTATAAACAGCAGCTCATAGCAGAAAAGTGGGGACCTCCTACACATATGGGGGCAGAGAGCAGAAGAAAGGCAAGAAGCTGAAAAACAGGGACAGAAAAAAAGCAGAGGAAACAATTTAAACAGAAATAAACAGGATTCAAATGGGAGAAAGAAGAGAGACTAGGGTAAAATAAGAGAAAACAGACTGGAATTATGTGTGCATGTTGTGCATGTACATTACAGTCATTCTTTGTATAATTATATCCAGACAAAAAAATTTAAAACTATTGTTACTACTGAGCAGATGTTTCTGGGTTTGTACATAAGTCAAAGAATCCAAATAATTAATGCAATATTGTAACAGAATACAAACAGTAAAATGCTCAGAACAAAAACAAGTACAAGGATGATGTGAGACAGAAATTTCTGAGGCACAGAACAAAGAGGGAAAGAAAACAGATGACAAGGGATGTGGGGAAGCTGACAGTTACATTATATCAGTAGTAGGACAGAAAGACTGAATGGCTATGCATGGGAAAGATGCAAAGGGACATTGCTACTTAGGCAGGTACACAGGTGTGCAGGTGGGCAAGAGAGAAACCTAGGTGACTGAAAGACAAGGTTTTAGTTGACATTACACCAGCATGCACAGTGCATTTTGATTTCAGTGACCAGTCCAAACATGTCAACAGCAGTGGCTGAGAGAGTGACAGTAGGTCTCCTCTCCCTCTGTCCCAACGTCTCCAGTTTTACAATGTCATTGTTTGTACAGTACTCCTCCTGTCAGGCTTTGTGGTCTCGGGACCGAAGTGACCAAAATGTAGTTCAGAAATCAACACAGCCGGCTGAGAGAAAAAGAAAGAGAGAGAGAGAGAGAGAGAGATGCATAAATCACTGCAGCGGAGCCACCTACAATCAGACTAATGGGGCTGGAAGACGTGCTGTCATCCAAGCCATGATGTCACCAAGCCTGAGTCTGTGGGTGTTGATGTTGATGGTGGGTCTATGGTGGTGTGTGCATAGTGGGATGCTTGCATATGTGGCTGTGGGTCTTTTGCTTTATTAATTTGCATGTGTAGGGGTAGGGCGGTGGTCTACAGGTCTATGGGTCTACGTGTCTGTGGTGAGTGTGTGTGTGTGTGTGGTGTATGTGGAAGGCGGGATGTCTGTTTATATGGGATTGCGTGTTCTGGGGTGGCCAGTGTGTGTGTGTATTTGTCTGTCAGTATATACTTTGATCATGACTCTGCATTTATATACTTTACATATTACACTTGCCTATACACACTCACATAAACACACACACACTGCACATCTATACTGAACTTAACACACATATAAAACACACACAGACATGCAGATGCTTGCACACACATATTGGTCTTGTGGTTAGTGCTGGCTTACAATGGGTGTGGGATTCCATAGAGAAAAATCTAAACGAGTCGAGTGGTTAGCATGGGTCTGCCACGTTTCCACACAATGGCGCTCATTGACATAAATAACTGCGGACTTTGTGAAATGGGACACCCATTAACTTCTCCTCCACAGATAATTGCCCATTAGGTTTTGAAGAGCACTAGATTGAGAAATAGCTCGACTCTGATGCTAAATGCAACTTGTAATAATAAAAAAGTCACATTGCAAAAGGGGGCCTGGAATCCGTTAAGATGGGTTGGCTTTTCATACTATCATCCAGCCAAGCACTTGGATTATCAACAAAGAAAACTATGGCTTGTTGTAGGAGCTTTGCAGTCTGTGCCTTTTCTTAAGCTGCGCTTTGAACATGGAAAAGATGACAACAAGGGGAAAAAGAAGAAATAAAAAGAAGAGAACTGCAAATTAGGAAATAAGACAAATGACAAGAATAAATTATTATGAAAGAAACTGATGATGTAGTATAAAGAGAAGCAGAATAGTAAAAATTTGTAGCAAATCAAAGAAAAAAAGAAGTTTAATTCACATTTCCAAAAGGTAAATGTGGGCAACTTTGATGACTAACAAATGCCTGCAATGCATCAAGCACTAATGTCATTCATGATGTACAGAATTTATTTAGACACTGCAACCGTTACCTTTGATGAATCAGAACCCCAAGATTCTCTATGAATTAATGTGACCATATCAGCACTTCCACTTACTGTTATCCACCTCACTCTGTGCATTTCCTGTTTGCGTGTGTAACAACAGCGTGAGAAAAGGGCAGATGATCCAGTAACATGACTCAGACATACAAATCAAATGCCTCCTCCCTACATCCTTCAGAGTGTATCATACACAATACTGTAAACAGACACTCGCAAATGCACAGGGGTTTGATGTAAAATATGATGATGACAATAATCACTATTTGACTCTACAACACAATTCTGGGGTTAAAATTTGATCTACAGCCAATGACACACCAGCGAGGAGGGTGCATGGTGTGTTAAATTCTAGGTGATCCTAGCAAGCGTTCTACCGTACTCTATGTCACACAATTCACATACAGTAATATTCATAATATCATGACATTGTAAGCATAATATGGCCAGTACAGCACACACTCCCACACATACACGTCATTGGCCACGGCTGTATTTACTTTCTCTCATTAGTTTTAAATGGCCCATCCAGACGTTACTGTGGCCCCTGCTTTTAATCACTGGAGAGAGCCCAGCTTAATGCTGGCTTTGTCCTCTTTGATGTCCAAAGTCTGCCAGCCAGCCAGCGAGTCAGTGTCTGCCCTTGCCTTCCCGCTTACTGCAAACAGCAGCCAACTCTGCTACGCTTTGCAAAGCTCTTTGCACATTAAGTCAGCCAGCAACTAAAATATCATAATGAGTTATCAGATCTTTTTTTTTTTTTATTTACTAAGAGAGAATGGTATTGATGAAAAGAACGGTGATATTCACATAAAATGTTGTGGGTCTATGCCGTTTAGCAAAAGATAGACACCGGAAACAAAAATAAAAATACATATTTAAAATTGAAATGTTTCACTGATGTGCAAGACTAATAGAACATTTGTAAGACCTTAACCCAGCTTTAGGTGCCAAAAATATAAATTATGACCATGTTGGTCACACTGCGTGTGTTT